AATTTCACTTGGGTGAGCATTTCTGTCAGGTGTAACACTAGACAGGAACATGTTAATAGAAGGACAATTACTTCCTAACACCTAACTAAAGCTTTTCTGTAATGAGCTTCTAATTAGGGTCATTTAAGGAATTTACCATATATACATAATTCGGGCTGACTCTGAACTCCGGAATCCCCACCCTCAGTGTTCTGAGTACTGGGGTCATAGGTGAGTGCCACTTACTACACTTCTCTTACTATGATTTAAGTGTTTGTTCCTGGACTTTGGTCTGTTGGTTGTTTTTTTTTTTTTTCCTGTTTGTTTCATAACAAAATGTTGGTTCTCCTTCTAATTGGCCTAAATTTTTTCAAGTGTTTATTGTTATGGCTGGGCATGGCTAAGTATACCAGTGATCCCAGCATTTAGGAGGTGGAGGCAGGAAGATGAGTTCATAGCCTGACCTAGTCTGACTATACTCATAGTATGAAATGTCAAGAATGCCTTTAACCTCAGCACGAAGTTCGTGACCAGCTTGGTTTACAGAGTGCTTCAGGACAGCCAAGGCTCCACAAAGAAACAAAAAAGAAAAACAAAAAAAGGGAAAAAAGAAACCAATATATATTAACATATTAAATATATATATAGAGGGAAATATTTACTGATCTGATAGGCTTACTAGTTTACCACTAGGTGGCTATTATTGTCAAATAATAGGTCCTGAATGATTTTCTGATGACCCATTGAGTGTGTGTGTGTTACTTTGGTTTCTCTGTAAAGTGTCTGAAGGAACTTTTTTTGACTTGTTAATGAAGGAACATGTGCATATCTGTAGCATTAGATTCATGTGCTGAATTGAATTGAGAACTCTACGATCTATCTGGAGGTAGAACTAAGCTGATCAACAGCACTGAGCAGATCTGCGTTCAGCCTTCATTGCTACTGTCTAATAACTTTGGATTCCTATGGATCCTTGACAGTGTCAGATGTGTCACCCTGTGCTTAAGTGATATAGTGTGTTTCAGGATACCAGCCTGCAGCTCTGAGCTTCCACGATGGAACTTTCCACGCCATATTTAATGAATGAAAAATATGAAAACAGTTAGAAACCTGAGGCAAGATTATGTTCAGACTGTTAACCCACTGACTGAATGGCCTCTGCATGCCCTTGGCATTGGCCACTCATTTGAAACAAAACTCTCTGACTGATGGCTCTTTTATGGAGATGGGTGTAATCTTAACTATATTTTCATGATTCTTAACTATATTGGCATTGGCTGGGTCAGAGGGAGGACATTTAGGGAAGTGAATTCAGAAATGATAAAAGTATGGCAGTGGGTTTTTTTTTTTTTTAAGACATTTTCTGCATGATGAGAGATTTTGGAAGGCATTATTTTGGTACTGCAATTGCACCCTGAGCTTTGTGTTTGTCAGGCATGTACTCTATTGCTGAATACTCCATGGCCTCAGAGTCATTTAACAAGACCATTTTTTTTTTTTTCCCCTCGGTGTAGCTTTGGAGCCTATTCTGGCACTCGCTCTGGAGACCAGGCTGGCCTCCAACTCACTGAGATCTGCCTGCCTCTGCCTTCCGAGTGCTGGGATTAAAGGTGTGCGCCACCAACACCCGGCCCTAACAAGACCATTGTTATCTACCGGTTTTCTGTATAGGAAATTCAGGAATTACAAGAGGCCTTGCCCTTCTTTGAGTTTTCAGTCCCTTGAGGGAGCTAAGTATCCCTCAGTACTGGGCTCTGTGTCCTCAGTGTGTCTCATGTGTAGAGGTGGCACCTGCATTTCCACTGTTAATGTTGTGGACTGAAGAAGGAGAGGAGAATGATGCATGAACACAGAACATTTGTTTGGTGTTGAAAGGTGCTTGGGTGTTGTGGAATATTTTGATTGCACTCTGACATTGCCGAGACTTGCCAATAAAATTAAACCTTGAATCAGGGGGTGGAGCCAGTGACTAGCCGATACGAGAAGCCAACAATTTGGATAGAGAAGACACACAGGCAGGAAAGGGCAGGGAATTGAGTTTGGCACTTCCTTTTTGGTTCTGAGACAAGTGAAGACAGTTGTCTCTTGCAATGTCTCCAACCAAAAAACAAGGTCTGCTAGTTGCTACTCAACCTTGAGCTAGCAGGTTTTCACCACAGCCTTTGACTCCTAAGTCTTATTGATAGATAGGGCAACAGAGACCTTCCTTCCTTCCTTCCTTCCTTCCTTCCTTCCTTCCTTCCTTCCTTCCTTCCTTCCTTTCTTCTTTCTTTCTTTCGGTTTTTTTTTTTTTTTTGAGACAGGGCTTCTCTGTATCTTTAGAGGCTGTCCTGGAACTCTCTCTGTAGACCAGGCTGGCCTCTAACTCACAGAGATCCCCTCTCTCTGCCTCCCAAGTGCTGGGGTTAAAGGCATGCTCCACCACTGCCCAGCCAAGAGAGTTAAGTCAAACCTACATCATGCAGCTTCAGCAGGGCGCTGGCTGTGGGGCTGTGGGGCCCACAGATGATAATCAAAATATCAGTAGATTCATGTGCAGCTGCTAAACCTACAGGAAAACATCACTTGGGATATTCCAACAGCTGCAGGAAATGTCTGCTACCAGCTTCCATGGCAGACAGACCCACAAATCCATCTCATTCTTTCACTAAAGCACCAGGTAGCTACATTCATGAGCAAAATCTACTCTACCTAACTTGTCTAACTTGCTGTTTCAAGTAGTGCATACTAAACCCTTAGTAATGCTTGCTCAGTTAAATAAATAGGTCCCCAAGTTTAGGAACTGAGAACTCTCTGTTTCTATCTCATGTACCTGTGTATAAGTGGCTGACGCAGGAGCCCTCCTTAGGGTCCAGTCCAATCAATGCCTGTTGCCTTAACTTCAAGGGAAGGCCATGGTAGCTTGTAGGGCAGATCTTGATTGACTTGGTCTCAGAATAAATTTGGCCCTTACTGTAATCAGAGGGCTATCACTTCACATTGATTTTTTTCTTTTTTAAGTTGTATATTATGTGGGTGGGTAGTTTGCATGTTTGTAGTCTGTACACCATCTGTGTGCAATGCCCCTGGAGTCCAGAAGAGGGTGTCAGATCCCTGGGTCTGGAGTTATAGACAGGTCTGAGCTACTTAGTATGTAGGTGCTGGTAATAGAACCTGTGTCCTCTGGAAAAGCAGCCAGTGCTCTTACCTGCTCTCTGAGCCACAGGAAGATAATAAAGGACTTAATCCGAGGGCTTTTACTTTTGGAATGATAAGCTCTCTTTTTCCCCTGTGAGACAGGGTCTCACTGTGTGGTCCTGGCTGTCTAGAACTCACTACATAGACATATAGGCTGGCCTCAAAGAAGAGATCCACCTGTCTGCCTTCCAGTGCTGGGATTTGAGGTGTGCATCATTGCACCTGACTTGGAATGATAAAATCTTAAGCCTCTTTTGGTGTCACATGGGCTTCATAGGGTTACCCGAGTGAGTACCTCATACTCAGAGATCTGTCTGCCTCTGTCTCCTGAGTGCTAGGATTGAAGGTGTGTGGCCACTACTGTTGAGTCATTTCTCCAGCCCCAAAGCCCCAAATGTTGTTTCTTTTTTGGTCTCAAAGGCAAGCTCCCGTGATATCTAAAGTAAGTGTGTGTGTGTGTGTGTGTGTGTGTGTGTGTGTGTGCATGCCACAGTGTGCCTTGGGTTCTGTTCCCAGCACACAGTGAACTGGTGAGCCTGTGTCTACAATCCTAGCACTTGGAGGTGTAGGCAGGAGTGTCTTGATTTCAGGCTTGTCCTTGGCTATATAGTGAGTTCCAGGCTGATATTCGCTACATGAACTTGACTCTAGTGATTTTCCTTAGGTCCTAGGTGTATGCATGATATGTACTTAGCACTGGCATTTTATAGTGGGATAAACTGGTGACTGTTTCACAGGCTTCTACATGGGTGGAGACCCAGGGAGTGAATGAGTGCATTTGGTTGTAATTCAGCAAGGTTGAGTTCTCTTTTAGAAAAGAGGTGTGTGAATGTTTGTGTCTGTGCACTTTTGGATGCAGGTGCCAGAAGAGGGTGTCAGATCTGTTTGCAGCTGGGGCTTCGTTTGTTTAATTCAGATTCTAGAGCTCCTCATTTAGCAGCAAGTGAGTTTAACCATTTCTCTAGCCCAAACAGAAGATTATTTGTTTTAATTCAAATTTTAAGAAGTTGCTTTGTCCCTTCTAGACTAGTTTTCAGCTAAAGCCTGCCATCTTGTGGCCTTAAGCACACAGAACTTAGCAAAAAAAGATTCTATTGTTGGGACTAGGTCTGTCATGTCGCCATGGGTAAGGAGTCTTCTCCTTAAATTACACTTTCTTACCATTAAGTCAATTTATTTTAACATTAGCACTACAGTTTTAATTAGAGCAAGTATTCAGAATCTTGATATAGTGAAGGCTTTCTTGTGTAATTAATGGTAGAGATTTATTTTAATGGCAAACATTATGTCTTTTGAATTGTAATTGTTCATATATAAAAGAACATTACTTTTCCAATGTAGCACTCCATGTAGAGATTTCAAATCACCTTATTAGAAACAGAAGGTGCTTGTAAACCTCTTGGCATCAACAAACTGCCATTGATAGTCAGATTTTATGTGAGTGAATGTCTCTCTGGCATGTGTATCTGCCCTGCATTTGTGACTGGGGCCTGTGGAAGATGGAGGAGGGTGTCTGATCTCATGGAACTGAAATTAACAGGTGACTTACCATGTGGGTGCTGGGACCTGATCATGGGTCTTCAGTAAGAACAGCAAGTGCTCTTAACTCAGAGCCATCTCTCTAGTCCCCAGAGACTAGGTCTTACTTGGCTCTTCATCCCACAGTCATTAGTTAACATGTGATGGGGAAAATGTCATCTTCTACCCAGAACTCTTTGATCTGATCTGATGCTCCTGGGTTAGCTTCTGTAGTTTCAGTAGACCCATGCATTCAGTATTCAAATTGCCTTGATTTCTCCCTTAAGCAGGCAAAGAGAAGGTCCCAAGACAGGGTGGTAATGTTGTCTGTGTTTTTCTGCTATTACAGTTACGCTAAGAAGGAATCGGATCTTAATGGAGCCCAGATGAAGCTTCGGGAGTATGAGGCGGCACTAAACTCTAAGGATGCAGCGCTGGCTACTGCCCTTGGTGACAAAAAGAGTTTAGAAGGAGATTTGGAGGATCTGAAAGATCAGATTGCCCAGGTAAGAGTCTGCCTCTGGCCCGTATTTGGTTGATTAGGTGGCAGTCTTAAGCCATGGTCTATGGGCTTATTTATTTATTTATATTAAGATTTTTTTTTTAAATGAACTCTATTTGTGTTCTTTGTTGGCTTCCATGGTAGCTTCTCATTACTTCTAGTCTGGGTTCTGCAGGCCTTGCTGCTTTCCTGGGCACACCCGTCCTCTCTGCTTTCAAAGCCTGTTTCATTATTGTACAGGAACAGTGATGCGTGAAGGATTGCTCTCCCTCTCTGTAGAGGACTGCAGTTTGATAGGTGATCTGAGGTGATTTCCTGGGGTAGAACCAGCAAATGACCATGAAGTTAAAATGAGATAATCATGTTATTTGATATATAGGAACTCTTAATGCTTGATCTGATCCGTATCTTAAACCATTACCAGATGGTCGCCATATAATCTTTATCATTCTTTTTCCTCCTCATAGCTGGAAGCATCCTTATCTGCTGCCAAAAAGCAGTTAGCAGACGAAACTTTACTTAAAGTGGATTTGGAGAATCGTTGTCAGAGTCTTACTGAGGACTTGGAGTTTCGTAAAAATATGTACGAAGAGGTAACTACATAAAAATTTTCTTTTTAAAGGAAACAGACTGAGTGTTGTGTCTCTTATCTGACCTCTGTGTGGGTCAAAGTTGATTCATAGTTTGTTTTGCTTAGTTACAGGTGTCCCCTGCTCTGCCATCATGTATGTTGTCTTAATGTTAGTGGTGATGAAACTAGAAATGTTTCTTCTACATAAAATAATAATTGGAAAACAGCAACGGCAACATAGGCAACATTATTTAGTATTTTTTATAATGGGAAATACGTTTGAATATTTGGTCTGTCTTTTTAGAATGATCTTGAAACAATACTTACTCTTCCAAGGGTTTTCCAACATTGAGGATACTGCTCAAAACGTTTAATCTCTTCGTTACAAACAGTTAAGGAGGAAAGGAAGAGGAAGGCGAAAAACAGTAAAGGAGATTGACAAGGATTTGGCCGTAGTCTGGGCTCAGTTTTTCTCTAGCTAAGCCTTTTAAACAGCCCTGAGATCCAGGGAGTCGGGAGCAGAGCTGTGATTTCAACCCTGGGTTTGGGGGTTGTTTTCAAGTATGTTTTCCTTTTTAGTGGTTAAGAGAACTGTGGAGAAATATGAAGAAAAAAGAGTTAGGATGAGGCATTGGGTAGATGATAAAATCTGTACTTAACCTGTGAGGTCTTAGGTTCAATCCCCAGCACTATACAAACAACTTTAATGGGTTATGGTGCCCCCTTGTGGCTTCTTTAATTATTCCTGCTCAAGACAAGTTAATAGTGAGAAGTTAAAATGGCAATTTTGGACAGTTTCTTAAAATAGGTAAGATAACAACTGAGTTAGTCAAATGACATTAGTAAGACCCTGCATACATTGTTACTAATAGTGTAACATATTACTGTATCTAAGAAAGTAGATCATTATGTAGAAACTTTGAGGTTGTGCTGTCAGATTTGACCTTCCATATCTTTTAGAGGCATCCATAGGATTGCCAGTAAAGCAACTTAGAAACACAAACCCTGGTTAGTGTTTGGTGTAGTATATTGTCTAGGTCCCTACAGTTGCATGGTGCTTTAGAAAATCAGGCCATTTTTTGACTTCAATAAAGTGAAATAGCTATCCCCCTGAAAAGAGCTAGGAGGTTCCTAGGACTTGAGGTATGTCATTATGCCATTAGTTATACCTAGAGATGTTCTGCCTGAAAACTGAAAGGCAACACTGTATCACGTGCCTGTTCTGAGACAGGACAGGTTTAGAGGTTAGTATATGACCCATCAGGCTGGTGCTTGTATGGCCTGTGTAAGCAACTTGGTTTTATGTTGTTTTTCTCCCTGCAGGAGATCAATGAGACGAGAAGGAAGCATGAGACACGTTTGGTGGAGGTGGATTCCGGGCGGCAGATTGAGTATGAGTACAAGCTGGCGCAGGCTCTGCATGAGATGAGGGAGCAACATGATGCTCAAGTGAGGCTGTACAAGGAAGAGCTGGAGCAGACCTACCATGCCAAGGTGAGCGCTAGTCAGGGTTTGTTTGCACATTTGCCAGTTCCTTAGTCATTCTGAAAAATGGGACTTGTTTGTTTTGGTCTAGGTATTCTCTTTTAAGTTTTATTTATGTATTTTATGTATATAGGTGCTTCGTCTGCATACCAGAAGAAGGCAGTAGATCCCATGGAACTACAATCATAGACGGTTGTGAACCACCATGTGGGTGCTGGAAGTTGAACCTGAGTCCCGAAGAGTAGCCAAAACTCTTAACTGCTGAGCTATCTCTCCAGCCCTGGGAATCACTTTTAAAAACCAGAACAAGGGCCTGGAGAGATGGCTCAGCAGTTAGGAGCCCTGGCTGCTCTTCTAGGGGTTATGTATTTATTTCTCAGCACCTACACGGCAGCTCACAACCATCTGTAATTGTAGTCCCATGGGACCTAATGCTCTCCCTTTGCTTCAGTGTGGTGCACAAATGTACATGTAAACAGAATACCCATACAACATAAAATAATGAAAGAATTTAAAGAAGCTTTAAATAATTAGAAAAAAAGAAGGAAGAAATGATTCTCTTATCCTTTAGGAATAAACATAATGAATGTATTTTTAATGCAGCTTCCTATAGACTAAACACTGTTAAGACGTAGATGAAAATGAGGTTATCCAATATTACTAGGAGCAAGGTTTATGTTTGTGTCAGTGGTCACTCATGCCACATCAGAGTAGTTAAGCCTTTCCAGCCCGGTTCCTTCTGGTGCCTTTCTGCATGCTGCTGCTAGTGTGTGTAGACATGCCACTCCCTTTGGGTTGTTGCTGGCCTTTTTGCACACTCCTGCGCTCTAATGTCCACATTGCAAGTGTATATAGATGTGCCACTCCCTATGGGTTGTTGTTTTATGGAAAAGACAATGGAAAATCTGACTTTGTTTCAAAAGTGTGGAAATATCCCACTTATATGAACAGATCACATGATACATTCTTTTTTTGGGCAAATGATTTTTCTCATGTTAAAAAATATTAGTTAGAGGCAGAGTCAGAAAGTTGATGGGGTCATTTAAAATAATTTCCATTGCTTGGCCTCACACTGTTGATGTTAAGTGTCAGTCACTTAGTGAAGCAGTAATGGGCATTGCATATAATCGAGCTCAGAAAGAGTTCCTTCAGCCACCCAGCCCTTGCTGAGTGCTGGCAGTGAGCTAGAAGTGAAAGAATGAAAGAATCCCACAGACTGGACTAGAGAAATTTGGGAAGGAAGGTAGAAACAAAACCTCACCGTCTCTGTTTCTCATTCTCTCTGTAAAACAGGTGT